TTAAGTTTCTTGTATCTTAACTCTAATACATGTGGGTCTTGGCCTTTCAATGACATCTCTCTTTCCATGTTTTGTAATATACACAGTTGATGGTGAATATATAGACATGATAAAGCTAACAAGATGGAAAATTACGTATTGAGTATATCGATTACAGAGTTCTAAAAGATAAAGAAAGGGAAACTTAGGTTTTAATGCAACCCTTTTATAGTTTGTCTAGCACAGAGGTAATGAAAGTCCTTCAAGCAAAATGCAGGACATAGTGATTGCTGTCGATTTTGGCAACCAAATCTTGGAAATCAATTTTCACCGTGAGGTCCTACGCGAGTTGTTCAGAATAAACACTTGACCAATGCCTACAGGTAAAAAAATATACTAAAACTGCTCGTGCTAAAGAAGTTTGATTATCGTGTGCTACTTATTAAACCAAGGCAACAACGCAACTCAAGCTGATAATCTGACCCATATAAAGTGTGAAGCATATGTTACAATTAACCAAAGGCAAAAGCAAAATTCAAGTGAATTATTCTGATCCATGGGGACTTCTTGGGAGCTAATTAGTCTCTATGCCTAGAGATACACAGGTCCCCTGTCGCCACAAGCCTGCCTGCATCACAAAATAAAACAGAACTCTGAATTCAGGATATTGCTGCTATACCAAATTTTCAAGACTTTCAAATGGCTACTCTAAAATGGTAAAAATCTCAGAACGTGGGGGAACAGAGTTATGAGTCTTAGAAATTCATTTTATGTCATATTAGGATTTCGATGTAGATATAAATTCTTGACGACGTTAATGGAGGAGCTTATCTGACTAATTTCTACACAACAACGATTGTATAAAAATCCTGACACTAGTCCAGCAAAATAGAGTATTACCCTACATTAATTCAGTAAGGTAAAACCCATAACAAGATTAATGTAAAACGAATAAAAATAAGTTAAAAAAAAACTTACCTCTGGGAAAGGAAGAACTGGGAATTGATATTTATGGAAATGAATTTTGGTAACAGATGAAAGAAGGGCCCATCAGGGTGTAATTAACAGAATTAATTACTGCTACACGTAACATAAGCAAATGCAATCAATCAAAATCAATCTACCCACCGAGTTGAGTCATTGATTCCCTCCTTTGGTCCTTTCTCGGGTTATATCCGTTTATTTTTGAAAATTATATTTTTATCTATTGTGATTAAAAATCCAAAAAAGGTAGTAACAAAAATATATGTTTTAGATAGGAGAGTTTAGCGTAAAAAATTTACAAATTTCATCTGTTATCTTTTGTTCTGGATTAGATTTTAAAAAATATTAAAATCTAAATTTTAATCAGTACCAAACATAGACTAAATTTATCTAAGTACATTTTTTTTTGCATCATCACATATATGTCTATTTCATCAAGCCTACTTTCGAGATTATGCGATTCGAACACCTTCTTTGAGAGTTGAAACTTATATGGCAAGGAATTTCATTACCTTGGGATCGATACGTATAAAAGTCGTCATTTAACCAAGGAGAGCTAGAAGTCTACAAATTAACAGATTTCATCTTATTAAGAGCATTCAGATAAAAAAATTAGTAACTTTTTAGGAGTAATAATAGTAGATTTCACGAATTGTGTGGTAAGTATATGGATAGTAGCTATGAATGTATAAATGAAATTAATATATTACTTTGACCAAATAAAAAAGTAATTTTTAGTAACTTTTAATGTTTCAAGAATTTTGGATTAATTTTTTGAAGGGGTTGTGCTAGATGTACACCAAATTCATTACCTAATGGATTACTCCCCTCACATTGAGGGGGCTCACGAATATTTTATTGTGTGTGGTCCCACTTCTATGTAAGGGGGGTGTAATTTATTAGGTAATAGATTGTGTACATTCAAACTAATCCTTTTAAATATGGGTGTAAGCGTTTCGATTTTTACCGATTTTTGACAAATTTTCAAATCAAACCGTTTCAACCGGTTTGAGAAAAACTCAAACTTAAACCAAACCGTTTTGACTGGTTTGAAAAAAACTCACACCTAAACCTAACGATTTGGTTCGATTTTAAACTGTCGATTTCGCGTATATTTTTTTACTGTCTAGTATCTACTTTTATGCCATTAATTCAATATATATTTATATCTTACTAGCAATAAATCTAAATCTACTATAAATTTAAATACCAACAAAATCAAAGTAAAATCACAATAAACTAAAATCACAGTCATATAGTTCTAGAGATAATTTAGACATATTCAAGAATTAAGAACATGCAACTATGTAAATAAAATCACATAACTTCGAAAATAG